TCTACGACTTTTTTGCTAGTTAGTGCCTTATTTGAATGGTCACCCTATGCAATAGCAAACCTCGGACGTCCCGTAAAATGGCCTTACTTGCACTTGCGGCCACAATCTTAACAATCGAACACAACAAACCATCGAAATCAACCAACCTAGTAAGATATCACAAGTGACCGAGAGTGCCCCAGCAGCCATTACAACTGATTAGAGCACCTCCTTATACCTATCCTTGGACAATTATCGTCTTCCTCGCTCTTCTTATTTCCGATCATACACACGATCTGAGTAGGCAAGCGTCATGGCCTAGCGGAAAAAGTCTTTTCTTATTAATATTTTTGACCCTTCACGGATATTCCATTCAGGACGTAAAGTCATGCATATAAATCTATTGGTTCCCTCCATGAAAAATACTTAAGATTCATAATTTTAACGGGTTTATTGGCATACGTTTCGCATAGTGTAAGCGGCATTTTTCGTCACATACCCAGATTATATTGTATATTGTACGTAAGTATGTTAATGTGCGTGTGAGCCACAAACAACCCCATTGGCTTGCCATGCTTGGGCTTTTATGTTTCATTTTCAATACACACAGAATGCGTGTGTTTGCGTGAGCCAGTTTTCAATGCAATTTTTACCATTTTTTAGTTGCCATACAAAAAATTTCTGGCTTTTTTTGAGAGAAGTTTGAGTTTCAAAAAGTCTCCGGAGGCCATTAACCTCAAAGAGTAGTGCCCGACCCGTCGACCGACCAACCGATGAACGCTACCCTACTGGTGCAACTGGAGTTTAGGTGGTGGAATTGTTGTAATTTTATTTGTTGTTGTTCCTTCTTTCGCTAAATTTGCCTGTTTTCCGTTGCAACATGCAGACATTGCACTAACTTGCCACATGCCACATTTCGACTGCAGTTGCATTAATGCTACGCAGTAGCTTTTGTATGCTCTTTTGTTTCCGTTGTTGTTGTTTCTATAGTTGTGTTTGTTGCTGTTGTAGCAGCTGCAGGTTGCACTCGCTGCTTGTTTGGTTTTCAGTTTCCTCCTTTTATTTACATTTTTCAACGTTTACCAGCTGATGGCCTGTGTGTGTGTGTGTGTGTGTAGCTTCGTCTACTAGTGTGTGTGTGCGTTTGTTTGTTTGTTTGTTTCCTTTCCTGCCTGTGTGCGTAGAAAAAATATTTAATTTTTATTTGAAACTTTTCCACTCGCACGTTCAACTTGTTCCGGCTGGAAAGTCGGCGCTAAATGCCAAACGTGCAGCGTGCTACTTACAACTGAGCCAAGAACCACCTTAACCAAACTTCGCAATATGCGAGACCTACTTCATGGCGCCATTAAGTGCGTCGTCCTACGCTACTCTTGGCTGCTAACCCGGTTCGCTCCCTTTTTTCGTGGCCAAAAGTACACGCACGCCCGACACGCATAGCTCCCGAGCGGAGCACGATGAGGGGCGATGCGGAAGAAGCACGCCAATGGCTTCAGAGCAGGTGCGCTGTTACCAGCGCTTTCAAATCATTGCAACTCTTAGTTGTACTTCCTGTGCGCCATGTGAAAAAAACCGAAACATTCCCTCTCATAAGTGCGAATACGGAACTTTCGCCTGGGTCAGCCCCACCTCTTCTCGAAATTCGTTCATGGCCCGTTGGTAGTCTGAAACTTCTCTTTGCTTTTTGACAACTTTCACACCCCTCACCATAAGCTACGCTACACTATCAGAGAGCGCATAAGTGCGTGTGATTAAATACTGCTGCCAGAGGCATTGGCTTGAGTCTCCTCAAGCCGTCGCCGTCACCATTGCCATCGCCACAAGCCCCCTCTGTGCGTGCAGGCGCCACTAAGCGTCTGGGCTGAGCTCGAGCTGAACAAACTGCGCTGTTGTTGTATGTGCGCTAGTGCGTTCCATCAATTTGCCTCATGCGTAACTAACAGTTTTCCCAAGCACCAACACTTGCACTCACACACGCAAATTGCATGTGTTCCAAAGCAATGCGTGGCAAGTGGTGCTACTGCAGTTTTTTAATTTTTAATTTACTTGCCTTGCAAATTCCATATAATTTCCTTGGAGTATGCGCGTAGATCCCTCCCTCCTCTTATGGCCCGTCCTTTAGTTCGCTTTTCTCGCATTTCGACTTTCATTTCGTACGCTTGTGTGCTCGTGTTGCAAGTTTTTTAATTTTGCTCACGCATGCATAGAATTTTGACGATTTCTTTGGCCCACCTCGTCTCAGGCGTTCCCTCCCTCTCAGCGCATCTTGGCTGCTTTTAGTCATATTATTTGCTTTGTTTAATTCTACATAATTTTCGTTTGCCTTCAGTATTTGCATTGCACCACCTTTCCATGTTGTCGTTGTTGTGCATCGCCATTTTTATTGGCACTTGCATCAAAGAGCCGTCATTTCGGAATCGTTCTTCCAATTCTTTTCTGTTTTTTGTTTTGTAGGATTTTTTAATTCGAAGGAATTTGACGAATAAATACAGTGCAGTAAAGAGGATATGCGTGAAGACTGCGGCATTTTCGTTGATGTAGTTATTCGTAGCGACTGCGCGTGACGTAACAGGAGGGGCAAACATTTGTTTTAATTTCATAGTAACTAGTTATGAACTAGATTGCTACTACTTTGCGGTTTGTATTAACTAGATCGTTTTCCATCTTGGCGACTAGTACTTTCAGCACTATGGAATGCCAATCGTATAATTATGCATCAGATTCAATAAATTGATAGATTAAAACCCACACTTCGTTTTCCCAGAAAATATTTTTACTGATTTAAAATTAATAATAATAAGTAAAAATCTTTAGTAAATGAAATCTCCAAATGCAATAAGGGCAATAATGATGGAAATAATTGGGCTGAAACCGCAGTACCGGACAAGTGGCAATGGACAGACATTACATATACACACAGTCATACATATTTTCATGCCATCCCCATTAAGTCAGCGTATATTACTATTACTTAATCGCTGTGTTACTACTGCTTTGGGGTTTTTATTGTTATTGTAGGTACAACGATTGACGATTACAACGTCACATTTGTACAGACAGCTAATTTTATGAGTCACTGCGATTTATAAGCTAACATAGATGTATATATGTACATGTATAAAAGTATAAGTTTGTAATTGTATTGAAGAAGATGCATTGACAGCTCATAAATAAATAAAGTTTTGCTTTCGTAAGCAATAATTATTATGGCGACAAGAAAAAAATATCAACATCAATATAGAGTGAGTATCGAAGTCATTACTGTCATAATTAAGCTGCCTACAACGCCCCTAGGCAGGCGCAATGCTACCTGCACACCCCTTGGCCTCTTTTACTACTTTTTTTTTAATACATGTAATCCAAATCTAGTTCAATTCTAGTATTTTAAAGAGAGTATTATACCAGTTCTCTATTTGTTCCCAAATTTCGTTCAGATAACCACAAATATGTTCTAAGTGGAGACTGAAGAATTAAAAATACATACATAAATGGACTAGTAAATAACTAGTATGCCGCTGATGTATAACTAACCCATTAGCATTTCATGGAACCGCGCCGTGTTAAAAAATCCTGTTCTAAATGCAGAAAACAATTGGATGATGGATCAATGCGTGCAGAAATGTAAGCTAGAAAAATGATATAACTGACAGCTAGAATCTGTACCTGCTGAGTACTCTCGCACTTACTATTTATACGTAAATCTGTGCTTATAAATCTGCTGTCGTACGTTAAAAACCGTTAAATTTGTAGCAAAACAAAGTTTATAATTCTTAAAATATGCACAAAGTCTTTAATAATATTCAAAGTAACTGGGACTGTCTGGCAGTCTTTCGGATACCAGTAAATCCCTCACCTTCTATATTTTCTCTATATCATATATATGAAAGACTTGGTCCTGAACTTCAAACTTAGGGCGTAAGTTTTGTTTATGAAGTAGGTATCCAATTTTCCGGAAAATGAACCTGGGGGTAGAAATTTATATGGAATTTGGTACAGTGGTATATTTTTGCCTAAATTGGCATGGAGAATACTTTACTCGAATAATTTTTATTTATTGTTTGATTTACAAAAAAAGTTACAAATAAAGTATATAGGTATATAATTATGGGCCTAACTCAATACTGAGAAGCCTTTTTCTTCTGGAAAGTGAATCTGGGATCAATCTATTCGAAAAAATCGTATTCGATTGAAATTTGGATATAAACGCGAATTAAAAATCTTTTTAGAACCATTTGAATTTCCACACTCAGCGAAATCGCGGTGTCCAGAACGCAACTTAAGGAATATGGACAAATATCCAATACTCTAGCTCATATTTGCATAGTCACACATGTAAATATGTCTCAAAAAGCCGAGCCACTCGAAAATCACTAAATATCATAATTTACCCACCTTTAACTCCATCATACTAATTAATTTAAATTAAGCTGTTGGAATTAATTTTGCAAAAATGTGCAACTCATGCAGTTGCTGCTCACTCTAGTGCTAGCGCATTTTTTTCATTTTATTTAATTTTTATTTCTTTTTTTTTTATAATCGGCGTTATTGCGTTCCATTTTAAAAATTACCTTTAGTTTTGACAATTTAATAGATGAATATTTCACTGTTGAATATTTCATGCGCTTCAACATGCCCAACCGCCCACTCGGCCCATTCGCAGCCCTATTTTGTTAAATTCTTTTATTTGTTTATTTTGGCATTGCGAACAGATTGCGAGCGTCACACGCGTAGTGAGAATGGAGCAAAAGTGCTCCAATGAATTGAATTTTTTAAACCGCAAAAGAGTTTTAGTTTTCCGCACGTAGACTTATTGGGTGCGGCAGCGAGCTTCTTGAAAGTTTTTGCTATGGATTTCACCCAAGTAGCAAAGAAGTATTATAGACTCCTATGTATACAAATACATACATACATACATACAAACTCAGTACCGAGGAAATAGGAAGTTGTTAAATGTCTATATTGGCCTTTTCGCATGTATTGAGCAATATGTTTGTATTCCTAATAAGAATTTATTCAATTCCCACCACCTGCCATGTCAATGACATCAATTACTGTAAATAATTACATCTTTTATTTTACACTCTTTTTATCGCCCAACATTTAATTGCTGGCCAAAGTAGATAATTTAATTTCGCTAAAAGTAATCAATTTTTTCGCCTTTTCCCTCCTACTTCCAGGCTTAGAACGGATCGCTGAGGAGTTGATGGAACGCATGAAATGGAAGCAATACCAAGAGCCATTAACTACGCGCGCCCATACAAATCACACAGCCGTACAATCGCCTGCCGAGACAGCAGCCACAGCCGACTTACCACCAGCAACCGCTGCCACCAGTTCAGCAGCGACCTCAGTAGCAATCCCAGAAATCCCAGTAGCACCACAACAGCAGCAGACAGCAGCCACCGAGCACAGTTCAAAGATAACCGATCGGCAGCAGCATCACAGCCCCAGCGTTCAGTGTGTAGAGGAAGAGACGAAGAAAACTTCATTTTCACCGCAACGATCGGCAGTGATCAACGATCTCGCCGACGTCAAGTGTGCAGCGAATCAAGCGCTAAGCGGCAAGAGCAACGGCATTGCAACGGACAGCAACAACAGCACGAGCCAACACGAGCTATCACAAGAACGCATAGTCGAAGGTCAACAACCACAACAACAATACAAAGGAAATACGCATCAAACCAATTGCGTGGAAGATTCCATTAAGGGTAAGGAGGGATCGGAAGAGAAGCAGAAGGTGCAAGCTGTTACAGGTGAGTGAACAGCAATAAAATGATAACGATACATACATACTCGTATGTATCTATATGCATTGTTTTCAACACGCTGATCTTTACAACGTATATTTTTTTTACTACCCAACCGTTGTCATAAACATCGAGGTTTGATACTTTAGACAGAAGGAAGCGTTCCCAATTTTCTTCTTCGGTGCACTTGTGGCTTCCAGGGAGTTGGACGCTGCATGGACACTAATAAAGAATATCTTCTTTCCTTTCTTTGTACATTAAAGCTACTTAGAGAACGTCCACTAAGGGTTCACTGTCCGATAGTCCAAACCCTTCTTAATTTCTAAGCGTCAGCGACTATCAGCGAGGAACAAAATTTTTCAATGTGAACCCTGTTTTTATTCTTGTTCTTCTTAACCCACATATAAATCCTTCCAAGCTCGCAAAGAAATCTTTACATAGTACCTGCTGAGGTTGAAAAAATACATCTCTGCACCCGAGTAAAGTATTTACCTCCAAAACGCGGTCTACGTTGGCTCTGGTTTATTATCAAAGACTTTGTCTTTGTTCACCTCAATTGGCTCAGAAATACCCAACCTGCAATTTAATTTTTTCAGAAGAAAATTCTGTAATCCGTTTCAAAGACTGCTGGTTTCAAGTAACATATATTTATGTATATATTTATGCATTCTTCTACAACTATTTACTACAAATGATATATAAACTACATAATTCTTCTGTTTTAGACAACACGACAACATCACATAATCACAAACAACTTCACCACAACAACAGTAATAGTTTAGTGTTAAATAATAACTTTAACAACACATCAGCATCTACAACAAAAGTAACAAATTCATCACACGAAATTACGTCAATAAACATCACAAGCGATATCGACTTGTCAACTACATCACCACCGTCAAAACATCCTCCTCAACCAGCAGCAGCAGCAGCTAAGGCGCACAGCGTGCACACCGTTCAACCGGTCGATTGGAAACCGAATGAGAAGTGTTATTTTTGTGTGGACGGCAGATTACTCACGGTGAACGCGAAGGGCGAATTAGTAGCCGAGCCGGCGGGCCCTCTAGTGTCCGCCGTCGGCGGCGATCCAGTGGAACACGGTCAAAGGGTTAGTGTTTGAATGAAAAACAAAAATTTTAACTAAGGTTTCCCAGGTCGGAGCTTTCAAAGCACTAAGTTGTTTTTCTTTTTTTCATAAAAGCTCTCTCATAAAGACTCTCACGTATGGAAGGTTCTGAACTGAACTTTTACTAAATAAGAGCTTTTAATTAGTTGAAGGGATATCTAATACATATTCAAAATATTTGATGGATTCAAAGCTTTCACTTATTTGAATATGCTTTTAGAAAGTTAGCTCTTCCACTGAGCGTTGAGAAACTCAGTACTCACATTGAACTTTTCGAATTGCATCTATCACTGAGCTTATCCGAGGAGATGGGCATCGTGCCTTATTATTAACATTTATCAGAAATTTTGATTGTTAAATACTAGATTCCATGTGAAAGGCACTGGATTCGATGGAAAATTGTGAAAGCTCCGTCCTTAAGAAATGACTTATCGACTCCTTTATATTTTTAACTAATTATTTTTTAATTAAACTAAACAAAATTTATAAATAGGAGTTTTCTTAACCCCCGCTTTGTAATAAATTTGTTTCATTATCAATTCTGTCAACCACATAATCCCACCAATTCGTGGTAAATTTGAAAAAAGACATTTTTGTTGTAATACGTAACCTTTTGTGCTCTTTCTTCTTTCAAATATACTCATATGCCTGCTTAAATATAAACGAAAACGAAAAAACAGCTTGAGACCGATAGCGATTCCAATGAATCATCCCATGTGAACTCATTAAACAGTACAACAACAACAACAACAAGAACAGCAGCAGCAACTGGAGCTATAGTTAACCCCCTCACACATACCAATACAAATAACAGTACCAGCAACAATACCAACAGTAACAGCAACAACCACTACAACAATAACAACAATCGCATCAACTGGAACAAATTGCTGACGACACGTTTGGTCGACTTGCCGGCGAACATGACTTCAATGGACTCAATGGCCGCACAATTAGCAGTCATTTCTGGTTACCCAAGTAAGTGCGAGTGTGAACGTGGCGAGCGAAAAAACATTTTTTAAACTCAATTTTTCGTAAAAATATCCGAAATTTTGTTTACTTTATGATTAGATTTCAATTGGCTACAATTGATGCAACAACAGCAGCAACAACAACAACAGCCGCATTCAACACCTACCACGCAGCAACAGCAACAAGAACAGACACATCCACAACAACAGCAGGAGCAGCGACAGCAGCAACAACAACAACAACAGCCTCCAACAAATTCGGCGACACCAACTACCTCAGAGACATCGGCCGCCGCTGTTAGTCCACCACTCAAGGATTCGCCCAGTCCCAGTGATGCCACCGGCGAACAACCATTAGATCTTAGTTCCAAGCCATCGCCAAATTCATCAATTAGCGGCGATTTGAAAACAGTACGGTGAGTAGAATTTATGAAAACTATCTTTTTTTAATCGCAGTAGTCGAGTGAATAGCATGGCTTAGTGTACCGCATAAAACATTAAAATCGTTAAAACCTACCACGGAAATTGCGACTTAAACCTATGGTGCACGTAATCGTCCAACTACTAAAAAATTTATAAAATTTTGAAAGAATTTGGGGAGACTGGATTGGGTACAGAAACTATAATCTTTTTGCTCGTTCAAGAGCTGGAACTTTCTTACGGTGCATTCACAACGCCTTACGTACGTCGATTGAATGCTCAACAATAAGAAGTGAACGAACAATATTTTCTACAGCGACGAGTCACATTTTTCACTCGCGGATACCTAGATAGGCAAACTTGTTGCATTTGGGGCTGCGAGAACCTTAAAATAGTTAAAGAGAGGCCAGTTTTACCCACATACAAAGCCTACTGTCTGGTGCGCTCTTTGGTGATGAGGTTTGGTTGGATCTCACTTCTTTGAAAACGACAACAGCGAGACAGTCATTGTCAATTCGGAGCGTTATGATCACATGACCTAGAGAATATTTAGTTTCAACAAGATGACACATTCCACAGAACACGAGCGCATATGGCTTTATTGCGAGAGCAATTACCCGGCCGCCTAATGATAATAGATTGGAGATGTCAATTGGCGACCGAGATCGTGCGATTTTCACCGTTGAATTTTCATTTGTGGGGCTACGCATGAGACCGTGCTCTTGAGCACTTGAGAGCCAACATTTGTTAAGTTATGGCTGAGATACCGAATAATAAGTACAAAAAGTGTTCGAAAATTACCTCAAACGGATCGAAGCTCGCAAAAATGTCAAGGTTCATTAAAAAAAAATATTTTAATTGAATTTGATTTACATTTATTTTTAAAACCGCGAAGCGCTGTATAATATTATATATTGACTTCGTTCATGAAGAGGGCGCGATAAATCTATTTTCAACTTTTCGAGGACTCCTAAATTTCCCGAATGTTAGTTTTCTTAGATATAACGGTATATTTTTATTATCGAGTAACATGGAAAAAATAATGAATTTTGCTAAACAAGAAAATTCGTTAAAAGCATTCATTGTAACAAATACATTCGTTCGACAACATAAGGAAAGTGTTGGATGATACACACCTACATACACGTACATACATATCTAAACGAAAAAACCCAAAAGCCTTCGTTCAGGCTCTTCTTAATTTTTTATTTTTTTTTTCTGCACTCGACATTTACAGCAAAATATTTTAAAAAACAAAAATTTGCATAGCAAAATAATGAAAATGAAAACCAACACCCATACAATTCTCACTTCTATAAATAAAAATATGTACATACATATGTATTTACATGTCGATATGTAATGCACAGCAACACGCCGACACTGAAATTAATGCACATGTCAAACAAAGCTGCAGACTAGCGACAATCATCAAGCAAAAAAAGAATGAAACACAGAATCTGTGGCAAGAACATAGCTCCGCATTGGCGATGCAACAGCAGACGCACAACAACAAAGGAGGCGAAGGCAACATCAACAATTAAAGGAGAACAGACAAGGACTCGCGTTTCCAACGCCGCCGCTCGCCGCGGCCACCCCCACCTACAACAGCGACTAATCGGGACTGCTGCACTCATATATGTGTATTCCCTACACGTTGCCACACGTTGCGACGACGTGTGAAGCGAAACGAGTCGTGTCGAAATGCACAGAGCACAATTGTGCTGACAACATTGCGCCCGATTGCGACAGCCGCCAGAGGATCAAGGTGTAAATTTGCTAAAAATTAAAAATAGAAAAATTAAAAACAATAGTAAACAAAAACAATAATACAAAATTGTGCAAAATAAGTATGAATGTATGCAAGTATGCGTGTGTGAGTGTTGAGAAAAATGGCGATGACTGGCGTTGCCGAAAAAAGTGCATTGGCCAAGAGACAGGTGTGTGCAAGAGTCACGGTAGCAGCGGTGCTGTGATGAAAATGGGACTGTTCTTCTGCGCTTAACTGGAGAAGGTGGAGAGCGTTGCTGGTGATGTGGTGAATTGAGTGTTGATAAACAGTCAAGTGCAGTTGTGTTGGACAAAGCGACTGACACATACTCGTTTACATAAATATATATGTATGTGCACATATCTATAAGCTTTTAGAAAGATAGGATTTACTCACACCTCTTCCAAGGCATTCATGGAAGTGTTTGTCTAGTAAACAACATCCGCTGTGTGTGAAAGTGGTATTAAAAGTTGGAGCTAAGCGGTTAAACAAATTGAAATGCAGCAACACGGTGTAACGGTGCACGAAAAATAGTAACAGTGTAATGTGTACCGTTACAATAAAGCAAAACAAGGTCGATATGCATTAATATAACTGTTGCTAAACACAAAATATTGCCAAACACAAAATGTTGCTAAACACAAAATGTTGCTAAACACAAAATGTTGCCAAACACAAAATGTTGCCAAACACAAAATGTTGCCAAACACAAAATGTTGTTAAACACAAAATGTTGCCAAACACAAAATATACAAAATAACCAACATAAAAATGTTGAAAGGCCATCATTCTTGCCAACTGTTCAATAATATAGATTCACATAAAATAATCCAACGTAAGATCTTGCAAAAAACATTTCTTCCAACAAAGCCACGAAAGGTTGCCAAACGTAAATATCGAAAAAGAAGAGTAGAAAATTTTCCAAAAATCCGTTTAAAAATAAAAATAAATATTATTAACCAATAAAATACAGGATATTAAAATTTGTCTTCCACCTATCTCATGCATGCGCTGAAGCAGTTTTACGAAGTACCAAAAAGCCTTAAAAACTTAATAAAGAAGTACACTTATCGGCTGTACCTACTTCCCGAGTGATATTCTATGTACTTTTACAAAAATACCCTTTCACATACTTTTTTCTGTCAAAACTAAATGTACATAATACTTGTCCTATATTATTCAGAGTTCTCACGCTATTGAAGCATACACGCTCTGCTCAGAAACACAAAAAATGGTGAAGGACACTCAAACAACTTAATATTTCTGCATTTTGTAAAAAAAAATTACGCGGACTAAAAGCAAAAAGTATAAAAATTTTTGCTAGAATTTGGCTGAAGTATATCCCCATATAAAAATGTATTTGATTGTAACAGAAAATAGGAAATATTCATCGCTATTGATGGCAGTAAAAGCATATTTTGCACATCCCTAAACTTTATGCATTGAGTGGAAGTTTGTGTCATATCTTTGTCAAAAGCAGACGTGTTTAATGACTTTTTTTAATGTTTTCTGTCGCTCTTCTTTCACTTTCATATATTTGGTAGTATCTTCTGCCCTTTGAGGTTTTACGATTCTTGCAATATCACGCTACGTCACAGCCAGCATACTTTTTAAGCTCATTAGATTACTTTCAGTGGGATTTTATTTTTGGTTATGAAAGAAATAAGATTGGAGTATATAAAATAAATAAGAAAAATGCATTATAAACAATGATAAATGTTGATATACCAAATGAAAACAATTTTTCAAATAAACTTCCCAAACAGAATAGAAAAAAATCCCCCACCGCCCTCCAAAATACACCATTTACACCTGCCTCAGCATCTTTGTGCATGTACATATGTATGTAGTCGCACGTAGAAGTCATTGTCATTGCCACCGCCACGATTTCATTTGGTTGTCCTACCATGATTGCGTATCCGCTACTTGCACTCTGGCTGCTGTTGCTACTGCACTCTTTTTGATCTCCTTTGCTCCGCTCAGCAGGTCCTGTCTGCGGCTGTCATTATGAATAATTTTTCGGGAAGCAATTTCGTTTGTTGGAAACATTTTTTTCTATTTTAATTTTTCTTTTAATTTTTTTATTTTACAATAATATTTTCTTCAATGCACTTTTTTTTGTAAATTTTCGCTGCTTTCTTCTGCGTTTTTTTGTATTTTTTTGCACTTTTTCTTTCAAATTTTTTACATCTCCCTCGTCTGACAAAATTATAATTGAGCACAAAAATGAAACAAAAGTGCTAAGAATAAAAAATAAAAAATCAACAAATAAGAAAAATCGCTCAAAAACAACCACGATAAAAAAATGGAAGTGCTTGTGAGAAGTGTATGGAAGTGGAAAGGAGAAATATATGAAAATTATAAGGCGACAAGGATGCGAATGTATAAAAATTTCAATGTCGCCGCGCGTCGCTGTCAACCAATGTGCCACAACACCTGCTGCGCTCACTCCACCGCAACCGACACTGCTCCCCTGTAGCTCTCTCCCCCCCCCCACTCCCCACCCCCCCTCTATGCCTCTCTGATCGTTCAGGGACCCTCTTCATATCAAGCTCTACTCAGGCTTTTATTTCAGTGCATTTCTGCTGTTTTGTTGCACTGGTATGTTGCTCCTTCGTAATGCACCTGAACGCACACACACACACATACACAAACATATTTACATTTTACAGAGGTGAAGTGTACACTTTTCGTGTTTCCCCATATTTTCTCCCATTTTTTCACATTTTTTGTCTGCTTAATTTTTTCGTTTGTTTTATTTCAAATTGCAGCGCAATTTTTTCTCATTTTTCATTTCCTTTTTTTGGTTTTATTTTATTTCATTTCATTTTTGTTTCTCTTTTCTACCTTTTTTACCGGTGTGCTTTGCAAGGGTTGATTTTTGTCGGTTTATTTGTTAGCAAGCGCATATAATGACTTATCTACACACACACATGTACTTATATACACATAGCATGATTGTGCACAGCTGCATTTGTTTTTGTCTTAACGCCGACTGCAATTGCATTTTTACAATTTCGGTTGCATCCCCAGTACATTTATTTAATATGATGCGGGCTTTTTTTTTGATGTTGCAATTCTTGTTTTTGTTTTATATATTTATTTTTTTTTCGTGTTGTTTCATTTTTGTTGCTACCTGCTGATGTAGTCATTCGCAATTCATTTTAATTTGTAATGAATATCTTGTAGTCGATACATACATACATATGTATACTTGTGCGAAAG